CATCCTGTCATTGCGTGATAGTCACGTGCCTGATCCATCTACCATAGTGTTGAACTCTGCTCTGTTCTTGCTGTTTATATCATATTTTTTCTTCAGGGCGGAAAGGAGGATAAATATCCAAAGGACGTGTGAGGTCTTTCTGGACTATTCTAAGCTGTATTTAGTAATGAAAAAAAATTTCTAATACGTATTCTAGCATTCTTTCTAAACACCTATGTTTGCAGCTGGCACTATTAACTAAGGCAGTTTCAGTGCTGAATCAACAGTGAAGTTTCAAGTATGAGAAGAATACCAGCTGCTGCTGGGCATTTTACCACATTCTTCTGAATGCTGATTTCTTCCCTATAGCAGCAAAACTTCATGGAAAAGTGTGTTGACTCCAGCCATCATCAGCAAGTGAGGCTGTAATGTCTTGTTGTACCCTCTTCAGGTAAGTTCTTAAGCGAGTTCAGGTAAGCTAAACATTCGCTTAAGGATGGCAAGTTCAATTGAAATTGAAATAAAAACTCTGCTTTTACATGGATATGACAGAATTATAATTTTATCCTAGGACAGTTTAATGTGGTTTAGTGGCACAGCTGGTAAACAAAATTGATGCGTTTGTGTTGAAGTGCTTGTGAGGAAGTGCTGGTATTTCCAACTAGTAAGGCTACCTTGAACATTTGGCTGCTCATCTCCCACTGAATTGCTGCACACCTGTCAGTCCATATCCTCCTTCATCATTCCCTGTTGAGATGACATGCCACCATTCTTCCTGTATTTAGCTTCTAAAGGTTATTTCCATCTCTTTGCTAATGTGAGTGAAGTGTGTAAGTTTGCACCTGCTGATTTCTGACAACAGTGAGGCTTTTCCAGTAATATTTCTAACCAGCTTTTGTCTTATTTTCCATGCAAGAGATACACAAGGAAGGATCTTTGTCAGCATCATACCTCAAAGGCTTCAGTTTTCTTCCTCTCACAAGCATTAGCTTCCCAAAGGTTGATGTGGAAGCCATAGTTTTTTTTAATCTGGCTTTCAAATGATTCAAGCTCTAGTTATTTCCAGATGGTTGTAAGGCAAGTGTAAAAATTGTCAACTCATGTAAATCCACATTACCTTGACTGAACACAGTTTTTAATTTCTCTGCAACAATGTCCCTCTTTGGATTTGTATTATCCTATCGAAGGCAGTTCAGCTATTGCCTATCAGTTTTCCATTAATTATACAGTTTCTTATGTGCTGTTTTTAAAGTTGGTGCTCAATGTATGTTTCATGCTGTTTTGAGTTATTTAATTTCATCTGATAGGGTTCAGCCATTTATGAGTATAGAGCTTGGAGGAAAGAACATTCGTTTCCCTGTGTTAAAATAGTACCTAGTCAAGGAGAATGGAGATAGTATCTAAGAACATCAACGAAGTACACTGTTGCCGGCTCCAGTTGTTCAGGACTTGGGATATTATGTTGTGAGTGAGGCACAAGACTGAATAATGTATATTTGATCTATACCTTTCCATTATCCACAAGACAAGCAAGAATTATTCTTTTCTGGTTCTGGATTTCTGGCTGGGAATATTGGGATTTTATTACATCATATTAGATGGTCTGATCTCACCTTATAGCCTGCAAGAAGAGATAAGATCAACAAAGAAATTCTTTTATGGCTGGTGTGAAGGCACTTATTCAATTACCACTGCAGAAAAATTGAACGTATCATCTAGTCTTGAATATCTGTCAGATTCTGAGTCATACAATCCAAGTGATACTGGAAACTCTACAGGTAATCTATGACTCACAAATGTTTATGCTTTCAAAATCAGTTCTTTATAGCACGGAGCAGCTTCACCCTTATCAGCCCCAATGTCAGTAAAGGGGACCAAATTCTTCCCACAGTGATTTTTTTTTCAAATTTTGCTGCAAAAGTAATTTAATCAGAAATCATAAAAAATGGGATTTTGTTTGTACCCAGAGGAATCTATAAAATGAAGATTTTGCTCTGTATGAAGTTTTAGACAAAGCTTTTTTTTTTTTTTTTAAAAATTTTCTCCTTGGAACATCTTCCATATGCTAGAATATTTTAAATGTATTTTTAAATAGTGACTGGCAATCTGTGAAACACCATTTTAGTGTGAATGAGGTCATATGCTACTAAAATACTACTTATACTAGGAAACTGAGATGAATTGAAAGTAGCACAGCTAAAAAGGGGAAGGCAACAGGTGTTTTATTAGATAGCAGATATTGGCTTTTTTTACATGTGTAGAATAACTGATACCTCATCCTAAATATTGTTATGAATTTGCATGTTTCTACTACTGAATATCAGTAAACCCCAGAGTGGTTTTACAGCATTTTTTATGAATAAGACACTATATCCTTTTCTAGCATATCACCAATTTCATGATGTGATACAAGACTGAAAAAGACTTGGGTACAAGACTTAGGTACCATGCATCTGATGCTTAAAAGTATGGTGGAAATTAAACAGGGCAGCCTATGCTCCTGCATTAAAAAAACTTCAGTTGTCAGCATACTGTAATTTTTTTACAAATATGACTGTAAGGTCAGCTTTACAGACTAATGTGCAGCCTGTTACAAAGAAATATTTTTTTGTGTTGCAATAAATGGGAGACCAATTTTCTCTAGAGGCACACATTTTACTCACCTCCTTAAAGTGAAGAAGAGAGGTGGAATTTATCTCTACTCAAAAATAACAATGATGTGACTATTAATTTGAGCAAGTAATGGAAATTAAGTGCTCTGGATTTCAATTTCCCCATGGTTTATAACTGAGATTTTCATTATAAAATTGAGATTTTCATTAGTTTATTATTATAAAGTAACTTAGAGAACCTTTCAAAACATCCTGTGTAAATCTGTGTTGTTGAGGGGCTTAGCATTATAGCCCCAATAATGAATAGATGATAAAATGGTTACAGTTAAATTATTCATCCTGATGCTTCAAATTTAATGTTCTCTATACAAAATGCTATAATTTTCTCACATTTTGAAAATATGCTACCTTCCACAAAGTAGTAGTTTCAGGTGTCTAATCATACTGTAAAGCACGGAACTGGTACTTAAATGCAAATGAGGGCCCTTTTGGTTTGTGCAGTTGTGGTATCTTAGCATATGCTTCATAGCTTTCAGAAGCAGTACACCCTGTATAGAAGAGGAGTGTGAATATTAAGTGAAGAAAAGGTGATACCATCTTCTCTTCTACAGTGTGTATAATCAGACAGAATTAACTGGAAACACTGACATTTAAAAACATGTATGCAATGGATTTGAGACACAATGTTTATTAACTCAATTTACAAGTACACATACTATTTAAACTGAATAAAACTGAAGTGCCAGTCTGGAAATCTGGAGTGTCAGAGCTACCTGGAAAAAACACCCTCGGGCTATTCAGCCATCATTTCTGTCTAAGGCCCTTGCTGTCATGGCTATTGGAGATAGCCTTGTCTTAAGATTTTACATAGAGAGGCTTTTTTAGGCTTTACTGTCATGGCATGTAATGAAAGCACTCATTCCATCTAAATACCATCTGTCCATACAAAGCAGAAGAGGATCTTACAATCTGGGGAAAACCCTGGCTCCGTGGAAACGGAAGCAGAATATTTTTAGTGACTTCTCCAGAGCCAGGATTTTCTGTATCTTCAAACAAATACTTTCATAGTAACTGGACCTGAAGCTGGAGGTCAATATCAACTGCTGATGGTATTGAGCTGTAGAATGCTATTTGCAATAATGGTTGTGATCAGAGACAAATTGCTCTCCCTCCCCTTCCATAGGAGATATATAGGGAGGAACCCTCAGTCTTTTTAGAAATACATCAAGAAAAGACAAAATAGAGCAGTCAGAGGCACAGTCCCACTTTTCATTAACTCTCTGGGCCAGAGCCTATAGTCTGCTCTGAAATCACATTGCAGTTAAAAAAACAGCCTCACCAGATACCTAACTAACAGTGTAGCTGTCTGATACCTTTCCTGGGCCATTGCTGGGGAAAGGCAGTGTGGATAGAACACCTTTGCAGTTTAGTAATTTAAAATATGAAAAAGGTCTTTTGAGGCCATGAGGGCAACTGCTGGCTTCTTGAGATTTGCACTCTTTAGATCAATCCTGAGCTAGATTGGAAGATGAGAGACTGAGGAAGGATAAAAAATTGTCTTCAGACCTTCATGACTCTATTTGTCCTGCAACCTCTCTATAACTCAGCTGAGCCAGGAGAATCAAGCAATCTGCCTATGCAGGAGGTCTGGGTTAGACGAACCTTTTCTATGTGGAATTTGAAAATATGAAATACACTTTCAAAATACATTTTGAAATATAGAGCAAGGACAACCCCCTTTTCAAGTACAGGACAATGAATATAAAGATATTCTGTATAATAATTCCATAATTGTTCTCCATTTTTCTCCATTTGTTCCAATGACTGTGATAGCAGTCAAGCAGAGAAGTCATGTTGGCAGTACATGTACATGACAAAGCTATAGAAAATGAAAGTTTAAGCTGAAGAAATTAATGTTATTAATTGCTTGCCTGTGGTTTCAAAACTGACAAAAGCAGCCGGAAGTTACACTAGGAAATCCTCCGAGTTCAGTCAAATCTCTGATTTAGTCAGCCTCAGCTATCACTGCCATCACCAGCTCATCTCTAAATATATCTGCTTTCACAGTGTACACATTCTGAAATTTGCCTGTTGCCTCCTTAGAAGTGCAGGCTATCATCTGCTGTTAGACAAGCCTGGCTTGACCAAAGCCACTGTGAACCTAGCCTAACACACCAAGCCCATCTCTTGTTGTTAGCTTTGATAGTTGCTGCTATCATTTGATAGTTTGCTTGTAGCCAGTCCAAGTTGGCAGTGTCAGCCAAAGCTGATTGGAGCTGCAGACATTTTTGCTGACTGCAGTCATGCTATCTTTGCCAGTTTGCTGGAATAGACACAGACACTGATTGGGTCATGCTGAAAACATTCCTGTCCTATGAAGCAAGTCTGTTTGTATTTTAGGTTTGCCAGGACTAATGAATTAAAAATCTTGGGCTCGCCACAATTTGCTGCTTGATAATGCCTGTGACAGAAGGATTTTTTCCTCCCTGAAGCGTGACAGCATCAGGACCTCTCGTCCCTCGCAAGGAGAGGAAGGGAAAGCAGAATTGTGGAGAAAAGCGGAAAAGGGTGATCTTTTGGGACAGCAAAGCCTATGGGAAGTGCAGGTAGCAGCATGTTGCCCTGACAGCTGTCTCAGCTTCTCAGACCTTGTCAGTTTGTTGCTATGCAGCAGGTGCAGCCTTTTCTTTTATTGAAGCTTTACTCCATAAAGGCAACAACAAGCCAAGGCAGTGGCTGGCCCTGGATTATACAAGTGCAGACGCTCCACTAAGTGAGGTAAGGCAACAGGTGTGAAAACTGAACTAAATTGATAGAGCTGCAACAGGACTTAATCTGAATTCTGCTGCAGATTTTTAATGGAGAAACAGCAACCAGTTCTACAGGCAATTGTCATGAAGAGGGGAGTTGCTTATTAAATCTCATTAAATTCCAGGTTGCCCACTTACCCTCATCTTTGTCTACTGAGATATTGTTCTTCAGGCATGGAGAAATCAGGTGGGGAACTGGGGGCAGTTGAACTGCATGTTTCCTGTATCACCGCATTTACACACAGGCTGCTTCCATCCCTCTCTGTTCCCATTTTGTGATGAAGAACTTGAGGATTCTGCACAAAAGGGAGTGAAGGGATAAATGTAATATAAAAAAAAAATAATTTATATATATATATAATGGATAGCAGGGCAATTCCTGCATATTAAGATGAGATTTCTTTTTGTGAATTGGAATAAAATGAAACCACTCATTGTGTTATGATAGAATTCACCATTGCTTATTGAAGGGGTATTGTTTTTTGCTCTAACACAGTAGCTACTTGAAAGAGGTAATTTAAAGACATCACAGACCACAGAGTATGTGACTGGGATAAGACAACAGATTTACTCCTAGCAATATTGTTATGACAACCTTTAAAACCTCTAGCACAATGCATCATTTTAATTTCTTAGGCTACGATACAAAATGTTAAGTATACTCTTATATGGAACACCACTTGAGATAGTAAGCAGATGTCAAGGGAATGTGTACCAACACAGAATGATGAACAGCCTTGTTTAAAGTGTGTGCTTATAATTTAAAATGTAGGGTTTGTTTTGTTTTGTTTTCCTTCACCTTGTATTGGGAGGCATGGAGGGGAAATACAATAAAGAATTTTAGATTGGTAGTTCTGTTGTTTTTAAAAACATGAGACATCTCAGTATTTCTTATAAATTGAGGGTCTGGGGGAAAAAGAGATCAATAAAGCTGAGAAGGTAAAAGTTACTTAGTTTGGAATTGAGTATTTCAGTTGACTCCAAGGATCTTTTCCTCAATCCAAAAATATACACTGCAACAGTTGACTTTTCTTTGTCTCTGCCTAATAGATATTAATTAAATTTTTGTGTATATTGATTATGTATGTGGAATAAAGAACAATCCCTGATGTTCTTCATGTATTAGTAGGAAACATTAATCTGCAAATAAGATTTATTCAGACACATTAATCTGCAAATAAGATTTATTCAGACCAATTATTTTAGAATATTTGTGGGTTTTTTTAATAAAAGATTATGCACATAAAATAATTTATTATGTAGCATTGTTACAGGCTAACTGTATCACAGAGAGACAAAGCAAATTAAAAGGAAGCACTGAAATGAATGGGCCAAATGCAGAGTTGATACTCTTCAACTGACTGCAAGTCAGTGATTTCAAGGAAAAATTTGATTCACTTATACACCACCAAGGAAGATTATAATCCTGAAATACTGTGTTGTTTTATTGGCTTTCTGAGACTGCCAAGTGTAAATAGAATGAGTTGTTGGAATTTCCATGCAAGACAATAGCTACCTTACTGAAAAACTGAAAGATTATTGGCTTAGAAAACTGGGGTTTGTTTTCACTAGCTAAATACAGCATTGTCTCCCGACACATATCCTGAATTTACTGAATTCATTGTGTTTTCCTGTAGAATTTGGTTTCTAATTGACTGATGAGTTTTTATGGTGCTTTAAAAGCTAGTCTCATAATTGTCCACAAAGTTGGTATGGATACAATGCACTCTGGATAGCATAGTATTCAGTCCTAAAATAATTTCTTTATGGGCAGATCTTTTGCATGCATGAAATCCCACTGACTTCATGTTCTCTACACATACTCTAATCAGAAGATTAGTATCTGTGAATTTTAGCAGCTTTGTGCCAAGTATATGGGGGTTCAGTGTGTGTTCAACTGTTTAATACAGTTTAACCAAACCCGAGCATTTAAAAGGTTAAATATACATAGTAGAGCTCCGAGTACAATTTTTGAGTGTTCAGAGATGCTTTAATTATACCATTAGAGACCAGTAGTAGCCAATTCTTTTTTTGCTCAACAAGTTTCTAGTGGCCTGCTTGAAATGATCTAGCAGTTTTCTTAATGGACAGGGTTTCATCTCAGTAAAACAACTTTTGGGAGCTGGCGGTCTCAGAAGCAAGACTGAGGACTGAATAAGGTCCCAATCCAGGAGTCAAACCCATGCAGACAGATCCCCACACCTGCACAGAGTTCCACTGAAGAATCACCACCAAGGTTTGGAGACCCAGTAACTTTCTGACCATTAAGTGTGTGACTATCAGGCTCAGCTTGACTGGGGGAGTTTGGGTGGAAGGTAGGAGGATGGGTGCCTCCTCATTGACACCATGTGGAGTGGTGTGCACGTTTACAATCACATGGCAGGCTTGGGGTCATGTTACTCTCAACTCCCCACCCCTTCTTCCTTCTTCACCTTCAGAACCAGGCAGCATTGCCACGAGTCAAGGCTTGCTGAAGGGGCAATGGCGGGGAGCAAGCAGGTGAGGAGAGGGGAAGCTTCCTTTGCCATCATTCTTCTAACCTGTAAATAGCAAAAGAAAGGCAGTCTCTGCACTGAATTTCACTGAAATCCTTTTTAAATGGAAAAGTGAACTGGCACTCCCTTGGCTTTGATTCTAAACGTTGCTTAGCAAGAATGAGAAGGGTAGCTGTGAATGCATGAAAAGCATTAGAACTCAACTGTTGAATGGTGTCACATGCTCTGTAATAAATATGTTGTTTGTATTATTGCAGCTGGAACAAACAAGTAAAAGCATTGACTCAAGTGCCCACATGATCACCACCGCCAGGGTACCTGCTGATAAGCCAGTACGAATTGCCTTCAGCCTGAATGACTCCCCAGGTACAGTTTAATTTATGGAGTAAGCCACAATGAAATAATTGCTTTTAAATATAAAATGAAGTCCAGTGTTATGGTTGTATTGTATTTTTTTCCTGAGTAATAGGAGATGATCAGTTTGAATCCTGTCTGATAGCTTTCAATATTTCCATTAACAATTTCATCGGGCCAAAACCACTAGACTCACAGTTTAGATCTTAGCTTTCTTTCAGTGGTTTGTGGAATATACTTTGGACTGTAATTAGCAATCAGATTTATTTGCATATGCCCTATGTCTGATTTTAATGAATTAAAAAAAAAAAAAAAAAGTAAAAGGTCAGTTTGTATTGAGGATGAGGCTAGGGCAGGAAGAGACTTAAAAAAAGAAGGTGAGAAAGTGACACATGTGCCCAGCTTGATGACAGGTTTCAGGAAACGGATGCCCCACATGGCATGTTCCCTGAGAAAGCAGCAGAAATTTCACTGATCTTTATCCTGTCAGCTAGTGCTGACTGAGCATTAATTTCCCCAAACATACCCAGTACATAAACGGACCCTTTGGCCTTTAGAATAGACAAATATTAGTAGTTTCCACCATAAATATTATTAAGGTCTAGATAACTGTTGCCAAACAGAAGAAGAAAATAAAGTACATTGGAAGCTGGGAAGCACCCGTAAATATTATTAAGGTCTAGATAATTGTTGCCAAACAGAAGAAGTTAGAATGAAATAAAGTACATTGGAAGCTGGGAAGCACCCCCCAAAAATTGACTGTGCTGTTGAGAAAGGTGAGTGCCTGGAGTTGAGGTTGAGATGTGTTTATGGCATAAAATTTAAGGATCTCTAATAATGATAATTGAAACCCACTGCTGAAGAGTGCTTTATGGGATGTTATGCACTGTAGGATAACTTGCGGCTGTTTCCTGAGCTTTGTGTGTGTAAGAGTCTCTGCCTGAATACAATGTTCTCATTTAAAAAATATTTTAGAATATGTGTTATCTTTCCTAGCTAATTGTTGTGTAGTATTAATTTGAAACAATGAGCCTGAAATAGAATCTCAGCTCCTCTGCAAAGGAATTTAAAACCAAACATTTTCATACATTATTGCATGAAACTTTCAGTATATAAAAATCAGTGACATGGAAAGACTGGGACAAGGAATATAAAGAAGCACATGTGGCTATCTGCATGCCCTTATTTAATAAATTAAAATAATCTAGTAATTACATTTTTATTACAGAAAGTAAGAATGAATCATTCTCATCTCAAGATATAGTAACATGGTAAATTTCTTACAGCAATTATAGCAAAGATAAATCTTTGAGAGAGATGTAAAAGAAAAGGGAGTGCTCTTACAAATTATGGAAAAAGCTTATGTGAGACACTGAAAACAAATCAGGGAAAGCTGAGACCATGGGAAAATCAAAGAGGGTAGACTGGTTTGTGACAAGAGACACCAGTAGGAAATGACAAGGTTGTGAATAGCTTGGAAGAAGAGAACATGAAAGGCAGGAAGCCTAGCTTCCTTAACATTGCATCATCTTTTATTTTTTTCTTTTATATCCTGCTCATAATTCATTTAGGGAAAGAAACTCAGTTACAGGAAGGTAATTTTTTTTTCTGCTGCACCTGGCTAAATTTTTGCATGATTTTGAGTCCTTTACTGTATATATACCAGTGTTCCTGCAGTATGTGGTGCAGAATCTCTGTGAGTACTGATGAAACTACAAGGCAACTGGAAAAGGTAGTGCCGTGTTCTCCTCTGTATGACATCCCCCCTGGGGGCTACCAAGAGGTCTAAATCAGTGTAGTGTTTTACCATATCACAAGAATTCCACTCTTGCTCTTAGTGGTAAGTGTGAATATGGTTATTAGATTTCATATATTTAAAGAAAGCAAAGTACAGAAACTTACCAGGTTTGAAAATTTCCAGCAAGCCATGGTTGAATCAAGAGAGTACAAATAAGTATTTATATTTTTTAAGATGAGCTGCAAAACATTAAACAGATAGACTTTCAGATACTCTATACTTGGCTTTTCTTTTCCTCCTTATTGTTTTAGATTTATTTAATCTTTTTCTTTCTCCTTGAGAATGACATTAGTTTTCAGTTCATACAGGAGTTACCTGCCATAAGTGTGATAATAAAGCATTGGGTGATGCTTGTGTACTACTACAGTACATACATACAAAAACCCCCTTACCAGGGCTAAGAGGAAATGAAATTTGTCTTGAGCTTTTCCATAAATTTTACCATACTTGAAAGGCACAGTGACAGATTTCACCAAGTAAGGCTGCATTCTCCTTCCGGGGGCTGTACAACTGCTTACTAGGAGGAACTGGCAGCATAACTAGATATAAAAAGGGGAAATGGAATGTTTCTTCTGGGTGGTGATTATCTCACTGGCTAGGATTGTAACCAAGCACTGGGCGTGAGGAGCAGCGAAAGGAGAAACTGCTCTCAACTCATGTTTAGAGATTGTTTTGTGTTAACTGACCTACAAGAGTGGAACTGACTTATCCTGAGTGTACAAGAAATAATTTAATTGTGTTATATTATTTGCCAGTCAACACCTGATGACTGAAATCCTGGCCAGCTTTGTGCAGTATTTTTAATGTGAAAGTAGGCTGACCAGTTCCTTAAAAGTCTCAGGAGCAGCCCATCAGCAGGTGCTATAGAAGAAGACAGTTTTATAGTGTATCTCTTATTCCTGTATATATAGATATCTATGTTTGGCTCTTTTACTCAAGTTCACTAAGCTGGCATCAAACACTGGTTTCCCAGGGTGTGTCTGTACACCATATTGCACCAGTTTGACTTAAGGTACCATTTTGACTTAATGCATTTGAAACATTATTTCAGCCTATCTTAAATCACTTGGGAACTAATGCAAGTTAAACTGAATATAGTATTCCGAAATTTAATTAAGTGTTTCAAAATAGACTGTAGTTTATCAATATCAATTTATTTAAAACATGTAGAATTATTGTAACAGGAACTTTGTAGGAACAGGAACAGACAAGTGGATTTGTTTTGTGTAACATTTCTAAGGGAAAGTTTATAGGTAAACATCTCTTCGCTTTCTTCCTTCCTAGAATAAAAGCTTGACTCATAGAATCATCGAATTAAAAAATGGTTTGGGTTGAAAGGGACCTTAGAGATCATCTAGTTCCAACCCTCCTGCCACGGGCAGGGATACCTCCCACTCCACCAGGTTGCTCAAGGTTGAGAAGCTTATTATCTAGCTGAAAAGTTCTGCTAGTGACATGAGTGACTGATTTTGAAATTACCAGTAATTTCTTTGTTTGAAATTAGATAGCACTCCCCAGAAAAATCACTGACAACAAAGGCAAAATATGCATCTTACAGTGGAACTGACAAACAGAGGAACAGTGCAATATTTTTGCAAGCACAGCAAATGACTTGTTTTGCTCTTCTTCATATCTTTGTTCCCCTAGTGACCATGAAGAATGTTTTTCTTTTCTAGTTAATCATGCAAGACTGTTTCGCAATGCGTACTTTTTCAATAGGAACCTTGAAACCTCTGCTCCATCCTCATTTTTGTTTTAATGGCAACAGAGGCTTTCCAGCAGATAATGTGCTGGTTGAAAACCAGTGGGGATTGCTAAACATATGGCTGAAATTTACAAAGCTAGTTACCTAAAACTACACAACCTCCAAGTAAGTGGCTCAATCTTTGGCAAGTTAGACAGGAACTCAGGTGGGATGCGCTCAAAAGGATAGTGGCTGTGCTTTCATCAGAGGATGCTTTAGGCTTAGGTGAAGGTGTATGGAGTAGGAGGGTTTTGCTCTTATTTCTTCTGTTATGGGCTGTTTCTATTTTTGGGAGGTCCACAACTCTTAATATTGAGCAAGCCTTCATAGCCTATTCCTGGGTGAGGCAGTGACCATTCCCCACTATTTTATGAGTGAGGTAACTGCGAGGTTGTGTAAGGTCATGTCAGGCAGGGCTGTGAATAGAAGCCGGGGAGCTTTGTGCAGCAGTGCCAAGTCGCAGTCACTTAGCCACACAGCCTTCCAGGATGAATTCAATGAGTCTATGCTTGTCTGTCAGTAACCAGGGCTGGAGCTGCTGGATCTCACCACCCTCCTGGGGCAAAGACTGGACCCCAACACACCTGTTTCCAGTGTTGTTCCACGGGGGGTTGCAGTGCTGCAGTTGAGCACTTTTCCTGAGAAAGGGCTGATCCACCTACAGGATAACAGCCTACTTATGTTACCAATTTAATTCTTTAATTTAGGAGGAAGAGATCTGAATACACTTGCCCACGCATGCAGGAGAAAAAAATAGTACCTGATTGTATAATTAAAGACTGGATCATAACTCAGTTACTCAAGGAAGCAGAGCTGTGATTGGCATTTCCTAAATTTCAAGGGCTTGATTTAGCAACCTTAATGTGCTTTCGACATGTTTAAATTTTTATGTTCTATTTCTGTCTATCTTTGTGAAGATCATAGAGAAACTGCAGTTTGCAAGTTTATACTGCAAGTAAATCAGATGTTGTTCTTACACTCTTCATTCTTTTAACTGTTGCCCATAGCCTACAGTTCAGCTAAATGGAGCAGCCAGCTAGGAAGAGATTGGGATGTTACATTTCATTGTACCAGACATTGTGTCAGTCAGACAGTGAAATGTGAAGGGTTTTTCTCATTTGTCTGCATGAGGGAGGTCTGGGATATTAGAATCTCCAGGAGGCTAGAACATGATTAAATAAATGAAGCTTTTTAGAAAGCATGATTCATTCTCAAATGTGCAACATTAGCATGTATCAGGCGACTGAATGCATCAGGACATCACTTATAAGTACTGAGCTTTTTCTAATACGACAGCCAGTCTTAATACAGTTCAGACTTACAAATCAGGTGGCTTGCATGGATCTCTGTACCACGTATTAGAAACTCATCTCATGTTTGTATTACTAGGTGCTATTAGCAGAGAAACAAGAGCTCACCTGGACAGTGGAGGCTGAGCAGCTTAGGTTTAGCTGACACACAACTGCCCTTGACACCATGTCAGCATGAAGGTGTGCTGTCTGGGCAGCTTTTCCTTTTGTTATGGTGTTAGTTTTGCTGTAGTCAGAGAGCTTTGTCTGATGTAGAAGGTTACTTTGTCTCAGCCAGACTGAATGGAAGGCAAGAGGAAGTGGTTTCCCTGGAGGCCCTCCCTCAGGTACTCTCTTTTATAATGACAGTTTTCAGCAAGAAGTGCAGTGAATTTACAAACCTGCTAAAACAAACATGAAACAAACAAACATGAAACAAACATGAAGGTCAAGCTGCTCAATATACATGAACCAAGTCTTTGGTGAATAAAATATCAAATGTATGTGCAGAGTTTAGCTTGTAATCAGAGTACATTTCTTTTACCTTTAGTGCATGTTTAAATTTAGACCTTCAGAATTAGTTTTGGGATTCATGGGAAATCAGGAAGTGCTGCTACTCATTTAGCAGTTGTGCAACAGATTCTTGAACTTAGGTGGCTGATTAAATCCCTGATCTGACTCTTTCACATCACATGTTAGTGCTGTTGAGTTTGCTGGGATGCCATAACACTCACATGGTTTTCCTCCTTTCTTGTTTTATTTTGACCAGAATCTTGACTAATTTTCAGACAGAACAAGTTACACTCTTTGATTTTTTAATTTATTTTTTTTTAAGCAAAATATGTTTTCAACAACCAGCTTGAATTATCAATTTATTTATTTATTTACAAGACACAAGGAAGGGAGCAGTAAAATAGTGACCACAGGAGTGAAATAATGCTTGTATCTGGTGAAGAATCAGCCTAGTTCTTTTCAGGGTTTTGTGGTATAGAAAAGCCACCAACTTCATTATAAAAAATAATACTGGCTCAATCCAGGACAAGGGGGCATTTCATTATATCAGTGATTCCTCATGACAATCTAGGCACTCATTATGTGTTGACAGTAAATTGAGAAAGGACAAAAAGAGATTCTTTCTGTTGTCTAGCTAGGGAGATGTAGAATAGAAAAGAACAAATGCAAACATATAAGAAGATACTTATGAAAGTGTTTTGATCTTCAGAATATTTTCTTTGACATTTCACACATTTTCAATGTTTCTGATCTTCAGAGCCATAGATTTTTAAGGCCAATGTGATTTCGTCTGGTCTCCTGTGTAACACCCAGTATTCCAGCTTGTAAGGGCAGAAGTGATTATTTTGGTGAAAAATGCAAGAGTTCATACATTTCCTCTTGACTTTCCAAAAACATCTTTAAAAAAGTTTTAGGAGGCAAATGACTTGCAATTAGCTTTCCCCTTGTGTGAAATCTAAACATGTTTAGTTTTACCAAGTGATTTTTGTTGTTATTGTTGTGGCTGTTACTTTGACAACAGTGAAATAGAGACTAACCTGATGCAGTAAATTATTTCACTGGAAGCTGCAGGGAAAGTTTTTGTGTTATTATTTTTGTGGAAAACAAGATTGCAGTTAGCTGTGAGGATTTCAGTTAATTTTTGTAAACTAAATATGTCAGCTGAAAATTTCAGAGGTCCCTAGCTTTTCTTGATGATGTTCTGCACATCTGATGATGATTTAAACAAGTCTTAAACTAGCACAACTAAAAAAAAAACATAGCAGCTGTTCAATAGATGCTAGGGCAGGCCCATTATAAAATGTACTATGGTATGCCATAATGGTTAGGATACCAAAATGTTCTATTTTTAGTACCATTGACTCAGTCACTTGTGTTCAAAAAACAAGCAGGGAACATCTGTTTATTAAAAGGATTTCCTCTACAGTAATTTCTCTTTCTGTTCCATCCTTTTGAAAATGTTTCTTTTTTTTTTTTTTCTTTTCTGAAGATAGTCCAATATATTTTTTAACATTCTGACACTGCATAATTATTTTTTTTTTGTTAATTTTCAAGCAATGAAAAAATAATTATTGACAATATATATATATTTTTTAATTCTTGGGGTTGGTTTTGCTTTGTTTTTCTTAAGTTAAAATTGTTTGAGGTGTGCTCTAATTGTCAAAACAAATTGCAGCTTAACTGCTGTCCATGACTCTGGTCCAATATCTCTGTCAGGATATTTAACAGCTATTCAGCCAAATATTTGTAGAGCAGCTGTACCCCTAGCTTGACTGAATCCTATTCTGTCCTTCCTTTTAGCCTTGCCATATGATTCATCTTTCTTCTTTTAGAATATTAGTCTATTTTAAAATATTGTACAAGAAAGCAACAGCAAATTAAAGGTAAACAATTATATGTCAGCCTGGTACAATTCTAAACAATTAAAGCAATTTAAGTATTTTACAGAATGGACATGTTTGTGACATGGTGTGAAAAGTGAAGTGGATGAGGAGGCAGGTATGATTTATTGACAAGACTGGCAAAACCAGTATCCCATGAAAATACTGAACTTTGCTTTGTATTCTGAGGAAGTTAAAAAGCTTTTGCTTTTGTCCTCTGTACCTCTGTATTCTCTTTTCTTCTGTGGGCATGTTTTCCTAGAGGTGCCCAGCTCTAGCTATGTTAGCTAAAGTAAGGCTTGGACAGTACGTTAGCCCATATCTTTATTCTTCATAGGATAAGGTGGCTTATTTCCCTTGCTCCTTTTAATGTACTTTGCTGTACGACCACTGAGGAGAGGATAAATATTTGATAGATAATTTAAATCCTAGTCTGTGCTCTTTAAGAGTATTCAAAATCCTGCTTTGACATGCAGTCCTCTCAGTCGCATTGGGGTTTTGTTGCAGTGTCCAAGTCTGCCAGCAGACAGCAGTTTGCAGGCTCTGATGTAAGTTAGCAGCTTTCCCCATGAGAACCATCCTTGTTTAATTCTGACACCTTACAAATAACTGACTTTGTAAGCTAGCTATTAGTAAACTTCTCTCACCTCCCGTAACCTGTAGTAAGATACGTAAACAGTCATCACAATCCAATGCAAAACTGATAGTGTGAAAGTCACTGAGAAAGAAATACTGCAGTGGCTGCTGTGACGCTACCAAGTATGATTCACATTTCTGATCTCAGTCCAGCTACTAGTGGGCAGGTGTCCACATCACAACACTGACGTAACTGGTGCAGTCTGTCCCACCTTTACTGTACTAAAAATAAATAAATAAACAAATAAATAAAAACAGAGTCTGGTTTGTTGCCAGGAGTGAACTAGCTCTAGCCCGTAAGGATTGTTATCTACAGGTTAGGGTAAAGAGATTGTTTTGCAGGATGGAGAAACCTGTGGTGCCTTTCCCAGTCTAATTACATCTGTGTAACTAACAGTTTTGTAGCTAGAGGATCACTAGATTGGTTTGTGTGTTCTTCTGGTTGCCTCTGAGTGGTGTGGGAAAAGGTTTCTATAATTGTTGGTTTAGTCCTGGTAGGTCACTGTACGGTTATGGGCAAGATATCTTTCCCTTCATTCAAGTAATGAACTCTTTATAGTAAGGATGCTGTCCTTAGAAGGTTCTTTATTTTGCAGTATAATGGAGAGCTCAGGAAGATTGTTTGGATTTATTGTTTTTATTATATTATCACATGATCTACTGCTCTAACTGGCTTTGTTTGTTTTGCCTTTTTCTTTTTTTTTTTTTCCCCCCCCTTAATCACTTCAATACAAAATAAGGCTTTCTATCTTTCCAGCAGCTAAACATTTTCTTATTGCCAATCCACCAGTGTTTTCAAGGAGTCTGTTAAGGTACCTCAAGTGTACAAAGAGAAGCAGATGTAGAGGTGTTTGCAGGATCTTGATATTATTGTGAATTTATGCGATGTAGAACTACATTAAACAGACAATTTGAAATGCCTTTTTTGGTAGACATTGACGTTTAACATCACGTTTACCTTGTAGATGATGCTTCCTCTGAAAACTCCTTCCCTTTGGCATTTCCAGAACTAGATCAGCAGCTTCAGGTAAATGTTTTTGTTTGTTTTTTTTGTTTAGGGTTTCTTGTGGGTTTGTCTTTTTTGTTTTAAAATTACAGTTCTACTTCACATTCACTAGATTTATTATGATTAAAAAACCCTCTAGTTGTTACTCTAAGGTGAACATTTTCAGAGGTGCTTCTCTCACCTACTAACATCTAATGAGACTGTATATTTCCGTAGAAGAAAACATTGTATTTTCAAGATATGCAGACAAACAGATTTGACATTTTAAATCCAATTGCAGAGGAATTACTATTTTAACAATCTCACCTGCTTTGTAATTTTTTTCTTTACAATTCTTGTGCAAAACACAGCATGTACTGCTGCACTGCAATTAAAAGAGTCCTTGTGGTTTTGTTGAGAGAAGGAATGGGCCAGGTATTATATTCTCATACCTACAGGCTGCACTAAGACCAGTATGATGAGCTTTCTCTGAAGCATTCCAAGAGAATGCAAAGGTGTATTTTGTGGTACCATCTTATCTCTAATCTTAGGTAACTGACCCCAGTCCCCAAGACTGGTAAGAGCCTCCTGGAAGTCACTCAAGGTTCATGCTGCATAGCCAGCAGCCCTAACAGTTGCCCTAGCAGGTATTTGCAGACAGCTCAGGATAAAAGTGGTGAATTGTTTTGTGGCTGGTCTGATTTGTCAGCAGAGTACAATGGAGTCCCAGGACACTGGACAATCAGCTGGCATTTGATGGTAACTCCATGGTTCTCCAGGCACACAGCCAGTTCTGTACCCAGGGCTTATTTATCTGTGGCAGTTCTGGAGTGTTTGATGGCTTTTGTAAACTACTTCAGATCATCTGTTTCCCAGGAGCATTTAGACTTCCTCTGATATTTCAATATGAAGGCAGTTGTTTCCTGAGTGTAAATTGAGAAAGGCATTAGCAGGCTGTGTTGTCCAATGATGTCATCCTTCCTGTCCCCATCAACTGGAGCAGGCACTGCTGACTTAAAGGACTGGCTTTTCTCTCCTGCTGCTCTCATCAAAAGGATGACTGAAGAAGGAATGGAGGATGACAGAGACTCTTCTTGCTTTATCTCTCTAATCCTGAGAATAGGGCAGGCTCCTTAGGCATGAGTAGGAAAGATTAAAGGAACAAATAGGAATTTTTACCTTTTTTGTTAAAGAACATTGAGATCAGTGGGTGAAGACTGCTCTAAAAGGGCAAATCATGATTATTGTTATTGCTGTTGATACATAAAAAACAACATTACTAGTGTTAGATGTAGGTAATTTATAGGCCAAATGATGATTTTTTATTAGGAATTGTAAGACCCATTTCAAGAATATATAATGTATCATTTCATGATAGACCAGAATTGCTTCTCTGAAAGCATTCAAGTCTGCTGGATAAATAATAGCCCTTCAGTAAAAGTTTTTTAAATACACACAACAACTGTTCCACTAAGTACACCCACTTGGTCTGTTAAGTACCTCACATTTTTTTTCAAGAGAACCTTCTTCCTTTATTCTCATGATCTCAATACAATAACAAATTCAAAGAAACAATTAAAGGCTTTGATACAGATGATGTTCTTTTTATTATCCTTCAGATACTTTTTCTGGTAATATTGAGGTAACTGGAAGGATAGCTTACAAGGACTATCTGGCTGACTTATCCACTTGAAAGTATAAAATTGGTGCTAGTGCTTTAACCTAGTCCTTTAGTCCTTCAGCTTTTTAAGCTCAAGTACATGTTCATATTTAGATGCCTTTATGTTCAAATAGAGGCAGTTAAGACAACACAGGCTTCTGAGCTGATGCAGAGATAACAGTGCATTCAGCTTTAGCAACAAAAACTTGAATTTCCTTGCTTTTGTCTGTCTGGATCACCTTTTAAAGATATGACTATTTAATGTAATTCCATTGCGTTTATACAGCTTTAAAATGTCAAACAAGCAGTAACTGTAACAAAGTTATAATTCAGCTAGTTATATTTTCTCATTAGTTGCATTTTTAAATTGCTATAATCCAAGCTGCTAAGGGTTTGTTGGCCCTGTATAGCATGTGGTTGCAATTTATGTTAATGTAAGCCTACCAGCTTTGAAACAGCTCTTGTATTACAGAAGCAAACTACAACATGGGCTTCACCAGGACCTGCAGGAGTTCTGAATGGTGGTTTCCCTTGTCATTCCATCCATGCTTTTCTCTATCCCAAAGTTGGATACTATAAAGCAGTGCACATGAAGTGTCATGTTAAACGAACCCTTCCATCAACTGTGGCATAGCAGCCTGAAATCCTTGATTTTATAAGAATGCTGGTACATATTTTCATAATAAAAATATCACATCTAGAGCCACAAGATTTTCATCACCATGCCATAAATACAGCCCAAAACATTTGTATTTTATTTAAAGAAGCAAACTATAAATGCCGGGTAGGTGGCTCTCTAATAATAGACACTTAAAAAAAAAACACACAAAAAAAAAGTACTTTCCAGGTTTCAAACATAGGAGGGAAAATTTTGAAACCTGTTTTAAAAACAAACCAAGCAAACAAAAGGCCAAATTAACGGATCCTCAGGCTGGATTTTCAAAGCAGCTTGAAAGCTATGGAAGCTCTCCCAGTGACTTGGAAAATAAGAGCCTTAGAATTTTATGCATGCAGGCAGCAGACCACAGCCTGAGTACCAAGCAATTTGCACCTCTGTTTTAGGCTTCAAGCCCTTGTCCTTCTATGTCAGGCCCTGGCAGACAACTTGGCTGTTTGAACAGAATTACCTACTGTTCCCACTTTTCTTACCACGATCCTACCATACCCACTCCCTGGGCACTGGTATCCGATGGCAGGGGAAAATTGAGTGCAGCTTCCCACTGACAGGGTAATAAACCCTTCTGGCCAAGCACCACTGCCAGCCTCACAGAGGTAGAGATAGGATTAACTGCAGAAAAGGTATTTCTAGGAAATGCAAATGCTGTGTAAGGACTTTTACTAGAGGACAATTCTAGTTGAAAGTTACAGCTTCTTTCTGAAGAATAAAAATGATCAGTCTACTGTTCTGATGTACTAGCTAGGTTCAGACCAAAAGTGTTGTCTTTTCCAATTACCTTTTTGAATGTTACATGTTTTTACTGCTTTTAGAGGAAGAAATTTGAAGAAGCAATTTGTAAGAAAATAATATCAATTGTCTGACTAAAAAATTTTCCTTTTGGTATTTTTGGGTTTTTTGTTTGTTTGCTTTTTACTTAAAAAGATAATTAATATATCATCAACCAGACACAAAAGCTTTACATATGAGAACAGAGCAGTTTAAGCTATATGCAGGAAAACCCTGGTCTCTTTTGCAGCTTTATTATTTAAAAAACTACAAAGAAGTACTTGATACGTTACCAGCAAAGCAAAGCTCATAATACTAAACTTACTGCTTTCAATTCCATTTGTTTGCAGTATTGGAAATTATTCTTTCACACTGACAAGCAACACTTCGAATGAGGCTAAAGCAGTTGCCTTTTTCAGGCTTCAGTGTCATTCCCCCACTGCCCTTCTGTGAGCAGTGTGGTGGCAGCAGGGGGAGGACAGGCTTGCTACACTTGTCAGTTTGTTTTGGGGAAATGTTAACCTTTGCCTGGTGTGAAAGTTGGACCCAGCCTTGGAAGGCACTTCCTTGGTTAGCTGCAGAGTGGGTGGTGGCTGCTCTGACAGACACTCTACTATGGTTTAGCTGCTATATTTAGACACCTACATCAACATCTGAGGTCTTGTTGTTTAGGTTGCTGAATATAGAGGAAGGTATCTAGGGTGAAGTACCTGCATTTCTATGCTCCGTGTGCTGTCTGTCCTTTCCCAGTGTTTCCCATCACTTGCTCAGTTCTTCTCCCTCTTTTCTGTCAAAGTCTTTATTCCAGCTGGGAATTCGATGCTCAAGAGGGAAGAGCACAAGGCACATATGGATGCACAGGGTGTTCTATAATTCTTCATCATCTCTTCTCATGAAATTGTGAGCTTGAGAGAGGCATTTATGTCATGTATTGTTTTACAGGTCTGTTGAGATAAGTCGTGTTAGAAGACCGTAAAATTGCTGCAACAGAGAAAGGGCTCCAAACATTTATAATATCAGTTTATTAAGTTAACGGGTAGTGTTTCATGCCTTAGTGGGATATTTCTGTACAAAAGAAACAATGAAGATATTATGAAAGGGGCAGTTTGGTGTGTATTGCACAAGCATTTAGCAGAAACCTTGTTTACTCTGGAACTTTGATAATGGAACTGTGTGTCTAGTGACTGCCAAGACTCTTGTTAGACACATAGAAATTATTTTAGACAGTTTAAAAATGTATTGTGTTTTTAAAGGGTATGCTATATTTTTTTAATATGTGTTAAACTCCAGGAGAATTCCTGGAGTACTGTGGTACTCTATAATTAGATTTGATTGACTATAAACTTGATAAGTCTCCTGTAATGCTGCTGTGATAACTGTGATCTTACATTAGATTATGTAGAGACATGGGTGTTTATGTCAGAACATCATACTAACATTAGAAAAGAATGAAAAATCTGTCAGGAAAGGAGAGCAAAACTCTCAGTTGCTCCCATCCAGTTAACTTCAACTATTTGGAGGTAAGAGAACTGCTTAATCTCGTAGTAAAACTAGACTAATCAAGATAAATCCTCAACTAGGTATCTGAAACTGGTTGAAGAGATCCAGTTGCACATCAAAAGGTAGCTGCAATATGTAGCTATCACTTTCGTTTGGAATAATCTTGTTTCCTCCATCATGAAAAAGTGTACAAAGCCATATAATGAACATGGGCCACATGCAAAATGTTGGCACTGAACTGTCTGCTTTTCCAGAATAGTTTAGCTGAAAATTACCAAATGTACAAAAAGTGAGATGCTGCTCAAAATTAGACCAGTACTAAACACTGCTTTCTTGATGTGTCCACATGCTCAGCTGGCTAAAATGCATGATACAATTTTTTCTTTAAACTTTAACTTTTTCAGGAGAAAGTTTTGATTATTTTTTTTTTCACAGTAGAATTAAAACAGACATGCAAACAAATGAAGGTGCATTAAAAAAGAAACGGTTTTAAAGTTTTTGAACACTTGGGTGACACTATCAACTATACAATTTTGGCAAGGCAAAATAATTTGTCATGTGAGTGAAGAGAAAAATTTACTGGAAACTGTGCTTTTTTGTCCTCAGCAAAGATTTCAATTAGAACAGCTCCTTCAACCTGTCTTAAAAAACAGGCAGAACCACTCAGGCTCTTTCTATTTCTTCATCAACTGCCTTTGCATATCACTTTCCAGCATCTTTCATATCTGATTGCAACCAAAAATCTAAATAAACAGTGCATATGTCTTGTAAAGTTGTATAGTTACAGAACAGCACATAACAGGATCTCTTAGTGTCTATTTGCTGGATTTTGTAGAAACTTTGTCAGTGTCACAGTCAGTTATTCAACAATATACAAGGAAAAATCAGCTCTTGTTGAAAATTGAGCACAGTAGGATAGACCATTAATATCACTTGAAAACAGGAGCTTTTGTACCAGCTTTGTGAACAAAATCACAGATGCTGTGTGCACATATTTTTCCAGCAGAGGAAAATGAGGGTGGATGACACTGAATCCTGAAATAAGCAGGATTAAAAGTAGCAACTGTTGCCATTAAATATAACTTTCTTTGGCAGGGGTGTTTTTTGCTTATGTAGCAGGTATGCTTTTATATATATATAAAATTTAATGGCATTGAATTTCTATATATGTTGTGTCTGCAACACTTCCCTTAGCTTACTTGGCCAGGCATTCAAAAAAGTCATTCCAGGTGGAATGGGGAGCAGAGAAAGACTGCTTGGATAAGCTGGGGAAAATGGAAGTTTCATCTAGGATGAATTAGAGGAAAGCAGCTTCACTGACGTAGATCTTCACAAACACAGGGGAGCCTTCTATAAGTACAAAGAACCACCATTTGGATGAAGAATAGTGCTGGAATGACAAAGGATGATACAAACATGTCTTCAACAGAACCAAATGGGAAATGACAAAAATGTTTTTAATCCTCGGTGAGGCTCTGGGCCAGTCTTACAACTGAGGCAGGGGACTTCAATTTTTCTAAGCAGAGCTGGGCAAGCCTGTGAATTGCAGGATTTGCTTCTGATAAGAGGGGACTGCACTCGCTGAGTTTGCATGTTCCTCCCATTCCCATTTTTATGAGTATGGACTAGTCCAACAACTGTTACTATTCTGTTATTGTTTTATTTTCTATGGAAATATGTGAATAGTGTAAAAGCTTCTGGCTAGTTGGAGTTACCTTTTTGGAAAAAGCAACTTTTGGCTCTGTTTCAGCATGCTTTTCAGGAATTTGCCCTATTTTCTTCTGAAAACTCTTATCCTGGTGGGAACAGATGTATCATTACTTCTTTGCACCCTTTTAATGTCAAAAAAGTAGGCTGTTAGACATGTAAAATTGGTTCCTTCTGGCTTTGTGTTGGCTTGCATTTTCTGGTGGCCAACAAAGAACTGACCAGACTTGGATCTCTCAATTTTTTCTTCTGATGAAACAGAGGTGTTAGTTAAATAATGAATGCATAGCCCTGTTTCACATTCTAATGGGCAGAAATTACTCCTGGACAGTGTAGGTAATATCTCCAAAACCTTTATCCAAAATTTCAGAATTAAAAAGAGCAAACAAAATTGTCTAGTCATCTAGTCATATAAAACCATAATAAAATTTACTTTTAAATGTAAAGATACACTCAAAATAATAATAAAGAATTACTGATATAGTGCTTGACAGCATCAGACAAGACTGAAAATAATTGTATTAACAGAATACTAGTAAACTGATCATGTCTTTTGTTGTCAGTTTATTTTGAATTATAAAATATCAATGTAAGAAAAACGGAAGGGGTTTCAAAGTCAGCAACTGGTTCTAAGTGGGAATTAGATACTAAGTCTCAGCATGACTGGATAATTTTTAGCTCTCTATATATATCTTTTGAGTGGGAAGCTGGAATATAGAAACTGAATGCTGCTTTAATTTTTAAACTGGTTTAAACCAGCTAGATTTGTGGAAACTAAGTTGAAAGCAAAAGCAGGTTTGCTTGATTTATCTTTTGAAGTATCACTGCTTGGGGACTTTCCCACTGGGTATGGTTCAAAATTGTTTCATTGTGACACATTTGTTGTTTGCTGATCTCTGGTAGATACCAGAGATGCTACTTTGGCTCACCCTTGCATTCTTGGATTAGAGCACTGAGACTTCTATATTCTGTCTTGTTAAATTTATGCTTATTATTTGGGTGGCTGTATGAATGGTGCTATTGCTCAGCCACATTGAAATGCAATTAAAAGCCCTTTCCTAGGGACCAGATTCATCAAGTAATGTACTGCCCTTTCCCTGGGCTCCCAAATTCTCTAAGCTCAGAGAGAATAAGATGATGTGATGTGAAACAATTATGCCACAGCATTTTTACATTTAGAACATGGAAAATGAGTGTCTGGTTTAAAATTTTAGTGAGAAACCACTTACCATCTACAAGTACTTTCAAGGTCTATATGTTAGTTACATCTGTGCATTGGGGTACATCTGAAGTTAGATTACCTTGCCTCCTGGATAAAAATATTTCTTATCTTTGTCTCTGAACCATGTTTATTGTAATACAAATTTCCAGTTTAGCTAAAACAAGGGTTTACAGGATCATAAATAGGAAAAGTCTAAAGACTTTATTTTCCTAACAATATAATTGAAGGAATATTATACTACAGAGAAAACTCGAAGTAGGACAGCAAGAAATAAAAAATAATCTACTTATATTGTGAAAGGCAATTGGATGTTCTTTGACTGGACAGTAAAGGAACTATTTTAAGTGCTTCCTTTTGCTTCAAACAGGTGGCTCAAGCATGCTATTTGGAGTTCATTTACAGTCAATTGATTCATGGCTAATAACTTAAAAATACTTCACTTCCTGAAAGTATTACAGCCAAAATGTGACAGTCAAGCCTGAAGCCTGAACAAAGTTGAATCCTTTTTAAGGAACAAAACCCACTGATATTTAACCAAACTGTATTTTCAAGACATTGACTGAAATTCTTATGAGGAGACCTAAGACAGAGTGCTTTAATTTGCCATATTTCTTACCTCCAGTGTGCATTGAAAAAAACCTTACTGCGGTAATGTCAGTATTTAGGTTAGGAGGTGAAGTACTTTTGCTTCATTGTATCTTTTTTATCTGATTTATTTGTTTTTTTAGTTTGCTGTCATCCTTCTGCTCTCAGTCTCACCTACACGTTTCATGGAAATTTAAAACACTTTGCAAATATGGCTTATATGACTCTTACAACTTTTCTACTAAGTATATCCCCTTCTTCTACAGGAAACAGAGATGCAGAGAAACTGACTATGATCTTGAGCAAGCTACTGACAGCTTGAGGCACTGCTGGGTTAGAACCCATTGTGAAATCTTGGCTGCACAGGACTCAGCAGTAAAAGTATTGAGTCCAGCAGAATCAGCCCTGGTGTCCCACTTCACGGCCCTGTGGCATTTAGTAATAAGCTGGAAGAAGCATTGCCACTGTGAAAAAGAGTGTTTAGTCAATAGCTTTCCATGTCTTTTCTTCTCATCTTGCACAGCTGGAGAGTAAAAGCTTGTTGACACTCAGATTACCCTTGTGCTCAGTGTTGCAGTTTTTGCAGTGAAGATACACTCGTGTATTTTATGAGTCTGACCCATGCATCAGCTTTAGCATTCTTGTGTCACTGTAGCTGAAAAAGAGGGACGTGAGGAGGAAATTTTTCTTTGAACAATCTCAGGGATACTTTACAAACTTGACAAGGAAAATCCTTACCTGGGTTGAAGGTTTATGCATATTCTTATGCAAGGAAGTGATTTTTTTTTCCCTCTGTGAAAGGCCATCACTAGGAATATTTAGCTGTATCCTGCAGTTAGGCCAAAAAAAATCTTTAAATATTCTCACAGGAATTAAGACAAAGATTGAATATTTCAAATAAGTGGTTTTTTTCCTAATAGTTAATTCAAAAGCACTATATGTATTTTATTTTTTTTCTCTTCTTTTCTTAAAGCCACTGCCTCCTTGTCATGACTCTAAGGAATCTATGCAGGTGTATAAACAACACTGCAAAATAGCAGAAGAGTACCATGAGGTCAAGAAAGAAATTGCTCTGCTGGAAGAAAGAAAGTGAGTCACTTTCCCAATGTATTTACTGTTGTATATTCTATTTGTAAAACCTTGTTTTAAATGTGAAGGTTTCACATGATATTTTCTGAACTTATACCTCTGCCTAACAGACATCGTACAGCACAACAGTTAGGCCATCAGGTCATAGGATCAACTGGGACCACTAAGGACCACTAGGAGTTGTTCTAGCTCTGGACCCTCAGTGATACAGTCTCCCAGTCATAAAAGAATCTAGTTCAGCCAGTGCAAGTCCTCTTTGTAGTTTTAGGGATTTTTTTCAATTTAACTTTACATGTTTAAACAAAGAGTATAATGGATCCTCAGTTAGATTTAGAATACTTGACAACATTATTCTCTGAGGTGCATTGTCTGTATGTACAGTGGTGGTTTAGGTGTTCATATCCAAGGTGCAAAAGCTACAGACTTTTTTTCTTGTCTGTGGCCTATACTGATACTCCTGTCATCTTTGTGTGACTCCTAAATGTTACTCTGTGACTCTCGGTTCCTTTCCACAAGAAACCTGAAAAAGAAATTTAGAGAGAGGAAAGAGAGTGAGTAGTGAAAGGTGAAAGTTTTTAGCAGACAGCCAACCCTAAGGAATAACATTTACTGATAAAGAAACTTTCTCTTTCAAATGCTTTAATTTTATATTCACACTGAGGGTGACTTCAAGCAGTGTTGCCTTCCTCAGGGAGTTACCTCAGTGTCAATCTCTGAGTCTTCTTGTGAAAAAGACCATCATTCTTCAAAATGCTGTGTGAACAGAAACATCGTAATCAGGGGTAGAAAGAGCTCATTTGAAGAGTGGGCTTTGAGTAGAAGGTGGACCACTGTCTCTGTTTCATAGCAGTCTTCACATGACTGACCATGCAGTTTATCTGAGTTTGTATCCATGGAATCCTGTAGCCTTACAAGTAAGATAGCCAAAGGTTTCCTTGAATTCAGACTATGCAAGGTAAGAAAGTGAGACTTGTCCTTATTGGGGTTGATGGCTACAGACACAATATAGTTAGTTGTTGCCTAAAGTATTGAAACTAGATGAGGTTTCCAAGAACAAATCCCCTTCCACTGTAGGACTCACATGGCACTGGGTTGCTGACAGCCTGGCACAAAAATTAAAAAAGAAGAAAAAATAACCAGAAGAGATTAACATTACATTTTCCCAGTGTTTGCATTTAATTCATTATTATTTAAACTTTTACAATCAAAATTAATTGGTGCATTTAAAAAGATGTAGATAAGATAATTAATTAAAATAATTTTGCAATTATTTGACAAACTTAATTGCCTAATATAAGTTGCTCACATGTGCACTTAGCAAACAAGGGAATTCAGTGAAACCACATGCATTTGTCTTCTCTGAAAATCCAAACTGAATATAAAATAGTAAATGGCTGTTGAAGTGATTAACTTCAGACACATCAACTCAAAAGGCAGCTTTAGATCCTTTGGTATTTATAGTCTACAAATATAAATGCATTATTAATTTTATTGATGCATCTCTGAATCAGTTTTGCACGTTTATAAAGTAAGCTTGGGCCCCTTGAAAGCTAGACTGTCATATATATATTCTTGCACCTACTAGAATGGAAAAAATAAAATGCATTTTCATTTATCTATGGAGTCTGTAGTACTACCTGAATTAGAAATATTTTGCTGCTTGGGAATGGCAGATTCTTGCACAAAATTGTTTATCTGAGCTCAGAACTATCCTTATCAACCTCTGAGTCCAGAAGTCAGCCTGTCAGCAGCAGTTATCCTGAATAAATTAAGGGGCTTCAGGTTGGCATTTTCCACCAATGGATGTCAACACTGGAACAGTGTGAGGAAGCTTCCACTACTTCTACCTTGGCTGAACCTGTTCTATGGATAAAGGACTTTATGCCCCATTAAAAATGTGTTAAGAGTGTCTGAATGAAGAAGCAACCAGAATTATGTTATTCTTATGTGCCTTCTAATTACCTCTTTGTGGCCTAGCTAGTCACATGCTGTGTAGCTGTGAAATGCCTAAACATGACAAAAACCCGTGCAGCACCTTTCACCACCTTCCACATCTCTTAATCTGAATCTGGTCCTAAGAGCACTGGGATTGAGGATGCTTAATTTCCTGCAGTTTGGTGCACTGTGGGTATTTGATTTTGAGGTTTAAAAAGCTGCACATGCCAGCTGAAGCTTTTTTCTCCAGGTGGGAACTATTTATGACCCCTCCCTCCAAGTACACTCTCTATTTTGTAGTATTTTGGAGCAGGTCTCGCAATGTTGCCTTTCTTTCCCCTTTGGGACATCTTTTCTTTCTGCAGCAGCCTGTTTCTGTAAGACCTTCCAGAAACTAACTTGGGTGGATTACTGAGTTACTAGGATACATATAGCTTTACACGAATGTAAGCATACACAACCTGAACACATTAACCCTGATTTTTACAAACAACTAGGTAGAAAGAGAGTGTAACTGTGAGAGTGAAGGAGTAAGCAAGAAGTAAAAGAGAGTTTTGGTCTAGTGATCACTGATTTATACCTAAAGACTGTTTTCAACAGTAACAGTTGGAAAGTTAAAGGAAGTTTATGAATAGCATATGCTGAATGAAGAGGAGAAGAATGGATTACAGTGGCTGGAGTGGCATAAGTATTGAATATTCCATCCTCAGAAGGGAAGTATGCTTTTTCTGAGAAGTCTGATGAGATGCACAGCCTTTTGCCTAAAATGCAGTTATAATAAAATTGGAGTTGTTTATGGGTCTCTGAAATTTGTCCCTGTCTTTATCTTCTTCTACATTTGAATGTGAATGTATGGAAATAATAATTCACAAGTGCCTAATCCATCTGCTATTGTCCATTTCTTTTAAATGTAATCTTGATAAAATGGACAATTAGAGTTTAGTCCCTTGTAATGGGAGCAAACAATTTGTGCAGTGTTCTTCAGTGCACAGTTTTACTAAAGACAACCAGAAGTGTTGTTGGATGGTGACACTCCCAGCCCTCCCAACTTCCTCTCCACAGATCAACTCATCTGTAGAATTAAAATGTCAAGTCCCACCTGGCAGCAGCTGCACATATAGTGCCTCCTGTGTGCCACTGTGCACACAGAATACTGAACACAATGATTGTCAGGAAAAGAGCAGAAAATGGATTGAAGAAACTTTTTTTATTTGTTGGCTAGAAGGAAGAAATAATGTTAAGTTAACCTGACATAAGTGTCCATACAGGTGTTGGATGTTCATAGTAAAACAAAACATGGCATAGTAGAACAAAACATGGCATAGTACTCATTCTACATTAAGCAATTTTTGTTCCAGCCTCCAAAGTTCAATGCAACATATGAAATAATACACACAGGTATATTTCTAAAGGAGACCTTTAAGAAAGAAAAATTTCAATAACATTTTTTTGGAATAGTCAAACACATTTACTCTTTTGCAACTTTTCAAAGGCTTTCAATTCTATTTAGCTTGATTTGTCTGTCACTGAATTGTGAGGATCCAGTATGGCCAAAGTATAGAAAGGTAGTGATGTGAAGTGAGGGGTTGGTTTTGATTGGGGCAGGAACAGAGCTTATTTGCTCCTTCCTCTTGTATGCAATGCAGGTGGCAAGATAAGGTACTAGGCTGGGAGAGGGAGAGAAAACAACTATTTCACAGGAAAATGGGAAATGAGAAAGAAAGTCAAGTTGAAGGTTCAAAAAAGGGAAATTCAGAGGACAAAGCAAATAAGAAGGGGGAAAAGTCACTCAGAAAAAAAGACAAAAGGAAGCAAGAAATTGAAATAATTTAAAAGAACATTGGGTAGATTTTTTTGCTGATATAACACATCATAGATTTTTTTTTTTTTTTTTGCTGTCTTCACTCAAACTCTTCCTGTTTCTGCCAGTAATATGTACCACAAGAGACAAAGTCACTCTGGAATGGGAGACATGATCGAAAAGAAAGAAAAGGGTGTGGAACCAAGGACTAAATCACATTTAGGTCACAGAATGTAATTTCATTTATGTTCCACAAACACACATGTATTTCCATAACAGATGTTTTTGGGTATCTAAGTTTGGGTGAAAGGGATGGGATGGCTGGTTATTTTGAGCACTTGTTATATTGCTATTACTAGATAATGACCCTGTATTATGTAGTTAAATATTAGAGTTGCCATGGTTGCTAGCTATATCTTATATTCTTAGCACTGGCTGGTTTTCTCTTTTTCCTCCCCCAGAAAATTCTAATATAAGTCTCCAGAAGATATAGTTTTATCACTACCTAGTTTAGGATCACTCCTTTTCTTTGCCATGTGTGTGATTTCTTTCCTTCTTTTACACATACTAGAGTAGACACACAGTAAACATGTCTGCTTAATTTTGTGGGATCTTTCCATATGCTTTAGCATGCTATCATGGCAATAGGACTATTTCTAAGGTCTCAAGTCTAGATGGTTTCTTCAGGTACACTATTTCTGGAATGTCTTTCTCAAGACTGTTGAGACAAACAGTCTTCAGACTTCCAGGTACTGTAGAAAAAGATGGGTGTAAATCATAAAGGCAACCTTTCATCTTAATAATCTTCCAATTTCCAACCTGATTTTTCACCATTTCACATGTATCCAAAATATATCTTACTTGTCAAATAGTGGAAATTACACCTTGTCTAATACAAAGAGAAACCTCAGCTTACCCCATTACAGTGATGAATATTCATGGACCTTTTATGTGCTAGCACCAAGACATACTTTACATCAAACCAGGCTGTTTTAATTTTACATTAAAACATTTTTACTTTAAAAGTCATTGTTTTAAAAAATAATTAGACTTTGAACACGCAAGTGCAGCAACTACCTCACAGGTCTCATGATTCCTCCTGACATGAAAGCCATGTCAAGTATGGGAAGAGTAAATGACCAGTATAGCCACCAGAACACACAGACACATGTTAGCTGAGATGAAATGTGTAGTACCACAGCTGCGTGATCCTGAATATGTTGTTCACAACAGAGGAAAGACAATTCTGCCTCTTTGCACCATGGAAGCCGTTTTCCTTGAGTCCAGTCCATCTCCAGATACACTTATTTCCACATATATTTATCTGGTTCATCTGTCATTTTTCTTGGTATTTACTCACTGTGAATATTACTGCAAAGGAATTGTGTTCACTGCATAGTCAGTCATTAAGGCCAGGACAAGAGAAATAATTTCCCTAAGACTATGCTTGTTTTTCCTCCTGCTCTGGTAGGGCTTGTGGTTTATAGGTTGCAAATCACACTCATCTTCCCTTCCACCCAAGCCCCTCCCCAAAAAAGAACACTTAAAGTGTATATTACAGACAGTCTTAAAGCTTCAAGTATCTCAGAACCCTTATAGAAAATACCTTATCAATGCTGTTAATATTTAAACTCAGGGTAACCATTAACAGAAAATACAGATTACACACTGTTAGATCTATTTATTAAGCATCCATAACAAAAGCTAGATGGTGCAAGAGCTTAGTATGGTGTTCTTTAACCTCTGGAAGCTAAGTTCAAATCCTGGATTAGATCAGAGGCAAATGTTAGTTACTGTCCTCATCCTTTTTGTGAGCTTCGTAAACCACACCATTCATAACATTTAGCAATTCCCTGGTACTCTAATTTTAGATCCCTGTGGCAGGCTGGCAGTATTTGCATGAAACATCATCCTGCCCTGTAAACAGGTGTTGATCCTGATGGGAAGGGAATAAGTAGGTTCTGCTGACTCAGAAGTGGGCAATTTTACTACCTCATTGCAAGGAAACTGCTTTCTGTGAGGGAGGTCCTGGAGTGTGGACTACAGCAATGAGCATATTTTGATCTTATTGCATTTCTGTTTTGTTTAATGGCAAAGCTAAATCCCAGGGTGGCAGGGGGAAAGTTATCTGTGCTGCTTAAGTATTACTGGAGAGCAGCACAAAAGCCATGCCTGCACATAGCCTCATCTTATTGTATCAGGACTGACATTCATTAATAGAGCTGTCTGAGTTTACACACTGTCTGTTAGTGCCACTCCTGGCTCAAGTCCAAATAGAATAGATAGTACCTTTCTTTTACACGTACTGTAGAAGTCCCCATGGAAAAAGTCTACTTGCTTTTAAGATGCTGATTTCTTATTAGTGTGTTTACGGCATCTGAGAAAAAGAAGGAGTTATTCTGAATTAATTTGTCAGAAACACCTCTGAGTCAATAGTTTGTAATTTGAAAGAGCTTAATTTAATCCTTCAGTCCAGCATTGCACCAGTAGAATAATTGCAAATAAATATTGCTGAAGATCTCCTTTGGTTTTAAGAGATAAAAATCTGCAAGAGGATGCCCTAGGAAACTGAAGTGGTTAAAGCTGCTGGACTTGGAAAATCTCATTGTTCCCAGATGCATTTCTCGCTCTCTAAAGCATACATATAATTAGTTATTTGTAGCCTATGTCCCATTAGTAGGAGCTGCAATATTGAACTGTCTAGCAAGATCAGTTCATCTTGGCCAATTTGAAAATTGGTTCATCTAGCTTGGTCCAAGCAAAGAGAAATGAATTTAAATGCTTTTAAAATTTTTAAAATTAAATTGTTCCAAATCTTAATAGAATTCTGCTGCACAAAAATATGCTCTTCATATTTTCTCTTGAAGACCTGACCGAATATACCTTTTAACTGTTGAAAGGAAAGAGATGAGGCTTTTCTGCAACATAGCTGCTATGCATTAAAACAAAGTATGAAACAAAGTGAACCTATTTGGCTTTAGGAGGGTTTCTATGTACTGCAACTTTGGGATGATTTAAAATTGCTGTAATGTCTACTAACTCTTCCATTATTTTTTTGTATGGGGGATACTCTTGAGAGAAGTGAGTGTGCCAGGAGTTTCTTCCAACTTGTGACTCCTTGAACAGCAGTAACTGTGACTGTAAACAGTCAGCTAAACCATGGGCAAACGGTGCTATCACTGAAAGCTGTAGCAAAGGCAGAGGAAGATCAAACTGATCCTAAGAGAAGGCCAAATAGAAGTGTTTTTCTAAACTCAGCTGCTTACAGTTTTGCTGCTGTAAGTGGTAGTTTTGCAGCTATAAGTAATGTAAGTGCTCAGCGGTTACTGAAATGTTACCATTTCATGAATACTCCAACCTGTGGTGACAGAATTATCAATCTGTAGGAATTTCCTGTCTGAAAGCAGTGACCCAGCTTAGCAAGAGGACTCCTTTAAAGACTGCAGCAAAAGCTGTCCACTTTGAAGGCATTACATCTTCCCACTGATGATCTGCAAGCATTGTTTTGACATGACTGAGAAATAAAGTCACAGGACTATGAACAGTTAAAGATTAACTAATCTCTGAGATAGAATGATCAAAAGAACTAAAAAGCTTTTAGAAGAGACTTCCTGTAGCAGGGGTGAATAAATGATCTGACTTAGAGGGGAAAAAAAGCAGAGGCCAGGCTAGCTTGCTCAGTAACTAAGTGGAGAGTGATTAGATACCTTGTGAGTTACTCATGACTTCAGTGTGTTTTGTTTTAAGACCTCTTTTATCTTAACTTGTGCTGAGGTAATTTCAGTTGACACTATACAGGAGACTCCAGCTCCTGGCCAGCTCTGGGAATAAAGAGCATTGTGTGACTCCATGCAGAAAGAAGCAACAGCTTGAATCTGCCTGTGTCTGCTCTTAAAAAGCCCAGAAGGGGTCAGGTTTGCAGCTCTATCACTCTTCCTTACCGGGACGGTGGAAGACTGAGCATAAATGTATTGTAGAAACACTATCTATAGGTCATATTCGTGTGGCTAGTGTTTACTAGAATTTATTTTTTTTTAAGTAGCAGAGGAAAGGAAACCAGATGTGCTTCACAGAATTTCCTGATAAAGCTAACAAACTGAACAAAAAAACCCCTCATTCTCTTTAAAATCTGTTTGGTATTGCAAGAAGAATAAATGGTTATTCTTCAGGCAAAATATTAGCATGCAGTCTCCAGTAACTTGATTCTCCCCCATTAATTTCATGTTCAGCTCTTACTGAAATTAGAGATACTTGAATCCAGCATTTCGCAGGATTGGTTGATGAACAACAAATTTATCACAGACTTTGGCAGCTTCATCTTCTAAAAGGAAAAGAAAGACTGTGACAAGTTAGTTTTCTAGGCCTCCCTTTCACAACAGCTCAGGTAATACCATGTTAACAACTTATAGTCCAGCTCTAACCTGACACACAACGACAAATTTTTGCATCCTGCCATTTTTGATCTTTGTGTTTTGTTTGTGTTTGGTGTTTGTTTGTTTGTTTCATAATTGCCAGAAAGGAGCTGATTGCCAGGCTGGAGCAAGTGGAAAAAGAAAGCATGGATGCTGCTCAGCTGGCTAAAGAGTATGCAGAACTGACAGAGGAGAACCGAACACTGAAGCTGGCCCAGACACAGTGTGTAGAGCAACTGGAAAAGCTCAGAATACAGTACCAAAAAAGACAGGGGTCCTCGTAACTCTCAACTAGCTTATCTGAGATAGTTAATACAGAATTGGTCCTGTGCTGGAAAGATATTTTAAAATAAAGGTCTGTTTAATATGTTACAATACTTTACTACAGATACAGAGTATGCAGAAGTCTATATTTGATTTAATGCTTGCCAGCCAGTAGCTTAATATAATGGATATTTCATCCATTATATAATGGATATTTTATTTCAAGTAACATAATTGAAGTTAACCTATCCCCATTATATGTTCTAGTAGATCAGGTTTCTTTTCTAAACATATTTCTTCCAATTTAAGAAGATATGGACACACTAGAAAATGATATAAATAGTCTCTGTGTTGGGAATTTGGACCATACTAAGGCATAGAGCAGGGACAATGGTAATATATGGAATACATTTACGTTAATTTTAGTTTGGTTGAAGATTTTTCTAATCATTTTCCTCATGCCTAAAGTGTTTGGAAGTTATCTTAAAGTGGATCTCCTCAGGGATAAGAGCTATACTTTATTATCCCGTGTCAACTTTTTACTGCTGCACATTGAAAACTGAAGTAACATAGTTATTTTTTAATCAAACGAGTGTACTGCCAGTAATAATTTGCAAGTTATGAAATTAAAAGGAAACAGATGGGATGAAACTTTCCTTCCTTAAGCATAAAGATAGCTTGAGAGTATTTTTATTGTACTATTTGGCATGCAAGAAATGAAAAATTAATACATGAAACTACCATCATAGTTTCAACTGAGAATATGTCAGTAAAAGTACAGTGAGGATATTTTGCTCTTATTTTCCGGTCTGTTTGAAACATAAGTGACTGTAAGTACGGACATGAGTTCTGTGATATATGAATAACCTGGAAGTAAAATGTTAGTTGTACTTGCTCTATTTATCCCTGTATTTTCCTAGATCAACAGAAAATTCTTTGTTATACTTCCATTTCTATTCATACAGTATTTTTTTCATTAAAAGTGGATATCAAAAAAACATTATATATTCTGACTGTTCTTTATTTGCCCTGCATTTTCAACTCTGCTTGACAGATGCATCTTGTTACATCTTCATAAAGTTGTAATTCAACAATTTCTTTGTTCTAACTACTTAGAGTATTTCCTGCAGTCAGTACAGGCATGAAAACAGGCTCTGCATTACTACAAGCACCTGACAGGTGGGCAGGGCAGTGGGGAGAGTATGAGGAGGCCGTGGGAGAGCCCAGTGTTACCTCCACTTCTCCTGAGCTGCTGGCCCGGGGGTGGCACACGTGCCTGGCACTGCTTCCTCCCTTACCCAGCCAATGCAGAGATATGAGGGGAAATCACCACTCTGAGGCACGTGCTTTAAGCTGGGATGCTCCACGGCCAGCTTACCACTATACTTCTTTTTTCTGAGCATTTTGCTAACTGATGGTCTGATTTTCACTATGCCTTATGAAAGGTGGAGAGGAAAAACCCATAATGAATGCAAAATACTTGGGATGTTAAGGCTGGGAGTGATAGAAAAGCCTTATCTGAGTTTTGTGCTGATGGCAAACAAACCCTGGACAGACTTCAGGGTCTTCCTTTGAGAACAGGGTGCTGCATAATCTGGGATATCTTGTTTTTGTCTGTAGTTATGTGTTTTGAATAACAAGATTGTAATTTTCAAAATTAATTTGTTTATTTAGTCACAAATCTTTCTATGTAACTTTGAAAATGCCAGCCAGTCTGCTGGTGGTTTCAGTGAATTTATTGGAAACTGCACAAAGTACAGGAAATTATTTTATTAGCAGACTGGCTTTGGATGCAGTTGGATCAGACAGCAGAATGTTACTTACAGATAACTTTGTTCACCTTGAAATTTTCTATTTAAGTGCAGCCATTATTTTTTAAATATCAGAATAAGAGGAGATCATATCCTTTGGGCAAAACATGAGAGAGAGCCAAAGACATGTAGAGAAGTGAAGCTGGGCATTATTTGTGACATATAGTAATTTGAGAGCAGCCAGGGAATATGACTTTTCTAACCTATAGAGACTAACCAGTATGGAAATCTTCAGCAAATATTTTTACAGATGTATAGACACCAAACCTGCATATGTGGTCCTGCTACCAGCCTGGCTAAATAGGGAACTCTTAAAAAATCCCAAACTAAATCAGAGACCTGTATTTAATCTAGACTGTGGCTATTTGCGATAAATTTTTCTTCCTAATATTAGTTACAGTGAAAGTAAAAAATAACTGCTTTGTAGCAATGTATTTGCTTGCCAGCATGGATTCTCATGTGCTTGAGAATAATGACTCAGAAGCTACATCATGACCTGAATGAGTAAACTGAAACAGAAGTACCAAGCAAGAAAAATTCAAATCTCATGAAAACAAATTGTAAAGAAAAAATAGGAGTGAAATGGGATTCAGTTGAGAGGACAGATCAATAGGATTTTCCAGAACTTTTCATGGGCAAGTGAAATTAAAATACAGAATAGTCAGCATAACCCATAAAATCATTCAAATGTTGTCAAGACTAAAAATGGCCAAAACAGCCTTCTGACAGGTAACTGCTGTATCTGTCATCCATCTCCTGATTTTTAATCAAGAGAATAGCAAAGATAAACATTTTCATATTCAATAAATCTCCAATTTTGGTATGCTGACTTTTTCTGTGTGGCTCTGCTGACTCAGCAACTGAAATTAAGTTTTTTAAGAAAATATTTTTTGTATTTGTGCTGTATTTTCCAAATAGGTAATATGATTTCTGTCCTTCTGTTTTTTAAGGAGAGACCTTCAATTGTTCTGCTAGCTAGGTCCATTGTAAGTACAGCACTATAAAAAAAATTGTTTATACAATTATTTCAAAGATGTTCCTGCATATCATATTTCAGCCGAAAACTTAGAAGTCAGTTCCAGCTTTTGAATTCAACTGCCAATGAAGTCTTCAACTTTATAACTTGTGACTACAGCCTGTGACAACTGCACTTGCATTCAGCAAAACAGCATTGGGTCTGAGGCTCGTGCTTGCAATTCACCAGCTGGTCAGAAGGCAAGGAGAGGCACGTGAAAAGCTGAGGTGACAACAGAAATCACTAAATGCTTGCAGGTAGGTACAGATGGCCTGTAGGGCAGGTAAAGTGTGTCTCTCACTAGTTAGCACCCAGGTTACTCAGGCTAGCAAAAGTAAGCACGCCATGGCCATGACAAATGCATTTGCTTCAGACCACTTAAGACAACAGTAAACGAAGTACATGGGTTTAAAAAAACAAGACCTGTGCTTTCCATTTCCTAGTATTACTAACTAACTTCCTTCCATGGTAACAAATGCTGAACAAGCTTAATTTAAGCATTCCCGTTAGCAAGGATATGACTCATGCAGTCTTGAAACAAGAGAGAGACTGGGGCGATAATCTGGAGCATAAGGACGTGCAGGCTTGGGTTTGGTGGCTCTTTTTAAGAGTTTCCCTTTCCAGGATTATCTTTACTCTGCTTGGTTTTGTGAATTAATGATCCTTGGAAGTGTGTCACCTCCCCCCAGAGGCTTTATTGCCATATAGGCCTTTGTGAGCATTGCTCTCTCTTCTTAGCAGGTACAAATACATGAGGGTACAACATGGGGGTGTCCTCAGCCATCCTTTGGTCTATGTGCTTGAGGAGCACTGGTGTATGTGCCTGTTTGCTGCTCAAACTTCAGCCACAGACCAGCTCACAGAAGTGAGCTAGTCTGATGCAGTCTTAGTCATGCAGTCACCTGTTTTTTTTTTCCCTCAGAAAATTCTTTGCTTATTCAACACACAAGATTTAAGTGTCTAGAGGAGCAAGGGAGACTGTTGTCTGGAGAAGCCCTGCCTCTCTTCTCGTGGAGGGTGCAAGATGTGCAGTGATTGAAGAAGAAGATCACAGGGAAGGGATATTATGTCCAGACAGTGAGGTAGCAGGAGGAGTGCTGGCCCTGGTCAGCAGGATTGTGAGGAGAGTTGACAAAACCTGGATGCTGACGTGACTTTTTTCTCCCACACTTATATTGGAAGTGTGTCACCTCCCCCCAGAGGCTTTATTGCCATATAGGCCTTTGTGAGCATTGCTCTCTCTTCTTAGCAGGTACAAATACATGAGGGTACAACATGGGGGTGTCCTCAGCCATCCTTTGGTCTATGTGCTTGAGGAGCACTGGTGTATGTGCCTGTTTGCTGCTCAAACTTCAGCCACAGACCAGCTCACAGAAGTGAGCTAGTCTGATGCAGTCTTAGTCATGCAGTCACCTGTTTTTTTTTATTCAACACACAAGATTTAAGTGTCTAGAGGAGCAAGGGAGACTGTTGTCTGGAGAAGCCCTGCCTCTCTTCTCGTGGAGGGTGCAAGATGTGCAGTGATTGAAGAAGAAGATCACAGGGAAGGGATATTATGTCCAGACAGTGAGGTAGCAGGAGGAGTGCTGGCCCTGGTCAGCAGGATTGTGAGGAGAGTTGACAAAACCTGGATGCTGACGTGACTTTTTTCTCCCACACTTATAACTTCCACAGATATACTTCTATACCCACAGCCCTGAGGGAGTGTCCTGGCATGTATATGCATGGATAATATGGTGATGAACATCCTTGGACAACCCATGATGAAACTATTAACTGTCTTCATGAGACACCTGGAATGTGTGCAACAATGAAGGCCCAGAGCTAACACCGAGCAAGAGCCAAAAAGCTGGCCCCCATTGTACATCCTGCTGGGCTTCTCTGGGACAAGACCAAACATTGTGATGTACATCCTGCTGGGCTCTTCTGGGAGAAGACCAAACATTGTGACTGCATGACTGTACCACAGTGCTCATTCAGGAGAGAGAGAAGCAAGGCAGGGTGGGCTCGGCAGCCCTCAATCTTACCCTTTCCTCCACTGGAATCCCTTGCTTCTGCAGTGTAAAACTGGGAGTTATTCAGGTGGTCCTTCAGATGCACACCAAAACTGTGCAGCTGACAATTTAAAGTCAACTAAATTGTTTGCTTTGTAAGAATGAAAAAACCCCACCATTTTGCTTGGGATGGTGCCAGTCACCTTTAGGTTCTTCAGTGCTCCTTACAAGGAATGTCATGAGTTACGCATACCCATATGATTGAAAGATGACAGTCATTAACAAATTACTGTTAAACTCAACCCAGGCTTCCTACAGTGCACAATACAGTGGTTTACTCTGTAGCAAGCACAAGATTTAGCATATGAGGCCCTCAGCTTTTCTACATGCCAATCATCAGTTCCCTCTTCTAACGCTCAGTTCCTTTAATCCCCCCCTGACCACAACCCATGCATCTGTACCCCATACTGAGTAAGCAGCATCACTCTGGAGCTCAGACCCAATTGACTGGTGATCTCATGACATGGTCTGATGATTGCTGTGTGCTTGAGATGGTTTCCAAACACTGCAGTCATACGATACTTTGTGTTTTGGTGCTTGTATATGGCAGCAACGCACTCGGCCAACGCGCAGGTGCAGCCTGTGAGATGGGCTGTCTTTGAACTGTTTAGGAAAATGTGGGAGCAGATGGTCTGTGGATTTAGTTATTTTTCTGAATTTTTTTACTGAATTTTTTATACAGAAATTAGGGAAGTGAAATGAGGATGTGAGTGCTGATGCGACAAATTTGTGGCCAGATGCCAGATTGTGCCCTGGGTGCTCAGAATGAGTAAAGTGATATGAGAACTGTAAGTTACGGAAAGGAAGTAGTTACAGCTAGGAAGAGGAACTGGGGAGTGGGCTGTGTGCCTTAACTGCTTGCTTTCCTGCTTCTTATGGCTTGCAGCAGTGGGATGTAAAGGCTATTGTCCCTAGTTCAAAATGAAGAAGCTGTTGTTTGGATGTTTCCCAGGCTTTTCCAAGCCTAGTCTACACAAAGATTTTATACTGGAACATTTACTTCATCTAAGGTTGTATTTTTGCCTGATATGCCTAGTATCAGAAGAGCTATACTGTGATAAGGATGCTTAGAGCACTGCAGAAGGTTCTTCTACAGAAAGAAT